AGCATATCTATGAGGAGATTGGACATTTTTATTTTGTGCTGTTTGATTTAGACCTCAATGAGAATAACAGATAGCATTGAAAATCTGATCTCAGAAATGACAAATGCTCAAAAGGATGAGGGAAAAATAGGTACACTAATGAACTGTTGGTGGAGTAATGAACTGGTCCAACCATTCTAAAAAACAATTTTGATCTAGACCCAAAGGGCTATAAAACTGTGCATAACCTTTGACTTAGCAATACCACTACTAGGTTTGTATCCCAAAGAGGTCAAAGGAAAAGGACCTATATGTACATAAATATTTATTTTTTTTGTGGTGGTAAAGAATTCAAATTCGAGGGCATGCTCATCAGTTGGAGAAGGGATGAACAAGTTGTGGCATATAGAATACCATTGTGCTATGGGAAATGATGAGGGGGGTGGTATCAGAAAAACATGACAAGACCTATATGAACTGATGCAAAGTGAAGTAAGAAGAGCCAAGAGATCATTGTGTGCAGTGACAGCAATGTTGTAATGATGATTAACTGTGGAAGACTCAGGCACCCTGATTGCTACAGTGATTCAAGACAATTCTAGAGGACTTATGATGAAAAAATCCTGTTCACTTCCAGAGAGAGAACTGATGAACTCTGAATGTAAATTGAAGCATAATTTTCTCATTTTCTTTATTTTTCTTGCTTTTTTGAAAAAATATGGCTAATATGGAAATATACTTTTCATAATTTCACATATATAGTTGGTATCACATTGCTTGCCTTCTCAGTGAGTCTGGAGAGGTGTGGGAGGGAGGGAGAGAATTTGGAACTCAAAATTTAAAAAGAAAAGAATGCTAAAAATAAATAATAAATTGAAATGTTCAAAAAAAATCTGATCTCTTCTAATGGAGTTAGCACATGGGGCATTTCTAAAGTCACATTCAAGGGGATTATCTGGGTTTATTAATAGAATTATTTAGCATTGAATCCATTCTCTAGAGCATATTTTGATACCTGTCATGTTTTTGAAAAATGTTATCTTTGTTAACTAAGGAAGTCATAGGACCCCTTCATTATGATTTCCTGTTTTTATTTTCTGTAGCTTGAAATATCTGCTTAGAAAGTTTTAAAAATAAGGTATGTGTATGGGTTGTTTGTTTTTTTTTTTAAGATCATAGTCACATTAGAGTCAGAGAATTGATTTTCTCTCCTGCCTCATCCTCCTGGTAGGATTTGGTTTTCTAAAGTTTTTATGCTGCTGTAGGAGCTGAATGCAAAGAGAATTCAGGTCTCCAATTGGAAAGGAAGCAGAATAGTCTTTTAAGTTCTCCCATTTGGGATGAAATGACAGGATCCATGTGCATTTATCTTAGGTTTATTCTGTTCCGACTTGGCTGCAGACAAGAAATTCTGCCTCTTTATTATAAACTCCAAATATTATCATTTACTAATATTGTATTGCACCAAATTTTATCAGCTACTAATATTGTATTACATTACTCCAAATATTATCAGGTCTTTAGAAATGTCTTTTTTGAAAGAATAGAGCAGGGGTGGGGAACCTGCCTTCTAGGTTCTTGGGTGTGGCCTTTTGACTGAGTCCAAGTTTTATAGAACAAATTCTTTTATTAAGGGGATTTGTTTTGTGAAGTTTGGATTCAGTCAAAGGGCTGCACTTGAGGACCTAGGGGGCCACGTGTGGCCTGGAGGACACAGGTTCCCCACCCCTGGAAGAGAGCTTTGGTCACTGCTGTAGTCAAGATACTTAACTAGTCTAGTGTTTCCTTTTAGGTTACCTTGTTAAAGTCTCTATTTTCTTGTCTAATTTTTCAAGTTTATCAGTTGTTTACTTAACTGGACTTGTGGTTGATGTGATGCTCTCCCCTGCAACACCCTCCCCCTAATGGAAATGTAAAAAAAACCCAGGAAATAAATAAGTATCGTCAAGCAAAATAAATACACACAAAAGTCCATGTCTATAAATGTCAATCTCTTTCTGCTTTTAGAATCCATCACCTGTCTTTTAGGAAGCAGGTAAACATGCTTCATTTTAGGTCCTTTATAGAATGGGTGGTCATTTCTTTGATCAGGGTTCTTAAGTTTTTCTTTACAATGTTGTTGTATTGCTTATTGTGTTATTGTATTACTTGTTCTCTTGATTCCAATGACTTTACTCTGTACTAGTTCCTACTTCCCAAGATTTTCTGAAGTCATCTTTTCTAACTTTTTATGACACAGTAATACTCCATTACACATGTGTACCACACTTTATTCAGTCATTTGCCAATGGATAGAAACCCTCTTAGTTTCTAGCTCTTTGCTTTTTCCTTTCCCTTTTAATATCCACTTTAGAATTAAGTTTATTTTACTTACATCTGTTCCCTCCATGGTATTATCCTCTCTCTTAACCTGTCTTATTCTTATCCCTGTCATTTTCCCTGTTGAGTGTGATATATTATTACACAAAACTCTTGTGTTTGTGTGTGTGTGTGTGTGTGTTTGTCTGGTGAAGTTTACATGATGCCCACTCCTCACATACCTTCCTCTATGTTTTCTTTTCCTCTTACTCCAATTTTGAGAACTAGTACAACCCCTTTCTTCCTCTTTTCTAAAATAGTGTATTCCTTTTATATTACCTTTTCTTTCCTTTCTTAAAATTCCCAGAGCAGAACCAATCCATTTCCAGGTCTTCTGTTTTTTCTTATTTGAGTCCCTCAAGACATTAAGGTAATGGAGGTATATTTGTTTCTTTTTCCACACTAGGATATCAACCCTTCATCATCATATAATCCCCTTCCTTTTCTTAAATTAAACCTTTCTAGGTTTTTCTTTACTTTGCATTTCAGAATTCCTACTCAGTTCTGGTCTTCTCACTAAAAATTCTTGAAAGTCCTCTGTTCTTTTAAAGATCCACTTTTTCCCTTGTAGAATTATACTTGGCCTTGTAGGGTAAGTTATTCTTGGTTGTAAGCCTATATATTTTGCCTTTTGGAATATTGTACTCAAAGCTCTTCTCTCGTTTATAGTAGAGACTGCCAAGTCTTGTGTGATCCTGACTGTGGTTCTTTGATACCCAGACTCTGTTTCTGGCTCCTTAGAGTATTTTTTTTTTCTTGAGGAAACCAGATTTTGACTATGGCATTCCTGAAACTTTTCTTCTGTGGTTTCTTTAAGGGGTGCATCAGTGAATTCTTTCTATTTTTACTTTGCTCTCTGGTTCTAATAGATCTGGGCAGTTTTAGTTTATGATTTCTTGAAATACAGAGTTTATACTTTAAAAGAGATTATTATTTTCAAGGAGTCCAATAATTCTTAAATAATTTCTTCTTGACCTGTTTTCCAGATCAGTTTTTTTAAAAATAGTAGATACTTTACATTTTCTTATATTTTTTTTCCCACTTTTGTTTTTGTTGTAATGTTTCTGTCTAATGGAGTCATTGATTTATGTTTGGTCTTTTCTAATTTTCAGGGAGGCCATTCCTTGTGTAAGATTTATTACTTTCTCTTCTAAGTTATTCATACTTCTTTTAGTTCTTTCCTCCAAAGCTTTTATTTCATCTTTTATCTCTTACTTCATTTCTTGTGGTGGAAAATGCATTTTTCCTTTGTCTGTGCTTGTAGTCGTTATGGAGTTATTCCCTTCTAGGTTGTATTTTTTTTGGACATTTTTGGATTTATTATAACTCTTTATTGGGTCTGTGTCTTCTGCTTGCTCTTCCCTCCTACCTTAGTTCCTGAATTGGGTCTTTGTATTGGGGCCGGGCTCCACCACCTGCTAAGCTTTGGGGTGGCATGGTCATCCTTGCTTGGTCTTAGCCTGAGTCATCTGGGTTCCTAAACTGATCCTCCCTGAGTTAGGCCTCTCTTCTGGATCTTTGAGGTTCAGCGAGCGGAATCTTCAGTGCCCTCTCTGGCGCTCAGGATAGATGGGCCTGGGGTGTCCTGGGCTAAGTGCTATCACACCCACACTGTTGGTCCCTTCTAAGCTCTACACTGAGGGATTCCAACCATCATGGTACTCTCCCTGGAAGCCTTCCATTCTTGATGTTTCCAAATATAGAACCTTGTCAGCTGCATTTGGCACCAAGGCTACCCTATTATTTGCCCATGGGCATCTGGCTAATTTTTTGTGCGATTCTAGAGTTGAAGAAGTTACTATAGTTTCCCACGGATTTTTTTTTTTTATCATTATTCAGTCTGGTGTCATTCCCAATCCTATCCTCCTGTACCCCTTCCCTAGAATAGGTGGGAGGTGGGGAAAAGGAGAAAAGCCGACCTTGTGTGCCTATGACACATTTTTTAAAGTCAACACAGACCAATTTTAATAACCTTAATTTGCACCACTGGACTGAATTTTAATAGTTATAAATCAAATAGCTTGTTTAATTTGAAAACTATAGTAGTCCTTCTGGTCCCACCTACAGGTATAGACAAGCTGGCTTGTAGGACATTGATCCGAAGGCAGTCTAATAAATCCAGTGATCCTTGGTTATTCAGGGGAACTGATAAATTGAAGCCAGTTTTCTTTGGGTCATTATTCTTGAAACCAGGGTTTCTGCACCTTTTTGGTGTGATGGTGACAACAGTCTGGTAATGAAGCCTATGGACCCCTTCTCAGAACCATGTTTTTACATGTGTAAAATAAAATACATGGACTTACAAAGGGAACCAATTATATTGAAATGCAGTTGTCAGAATATTTTTTTTAAAGTTTCCAGACCCCCCTCAAATCTATCCTGCACCTTAGACTAAGAACTCCAGCTTTATATGAATGCTTTTTAGTTGGAAATTCCTTTATTTCTCTAGAAATTTTGGTGTCTGAGCAAGGTCATCTTGATGGGATGTCTCCTTATGGTTGCGTTGTATGATGTAGTTTGACAGTTGCCCCACTGGGGGTAGTTGCTGTGGTTTTGGTAAAATATGTTGATATCTAGGGTTTTTGTTCTGTGTTATAATGTGGATATAAACGAACTTGTAAATACCCACACATAAATGAAATATGTACTTTTAATTTTTTTAGGTAAAGAATATAGGAGACTACTTTAAACAACACCTTTTACAATCCAGACACAGAGGAGCATTTGAATTGGCTTACACTGGCTTTGTAAAGCTAACTCAAGTCCTAACCAGGTAAAAAACAAAACAAATGTTCTTTTTGTATATATTTTGTAGAGTTAATATGCAAGCCATGTGAAGAAAAAGCTTATAGCCTTATGTTCTAGTGTCTACAAGAACACAGTTTAGTTGGCTACAAAACTTCTGGAAGAAATTGTTTTCTTAGGTCTTATTGTATGGCCTGCTACAAATGTTTGAGTGAAATGTCCAAACCTGGCAATGTTCTCCTTGAAAGTGGATTTGAAGTAAACTTGAATATTTTTCTAAAAATAGCTCCCAAATTACTCTTTTTTTTTTTTAGTGAATAAACTGAATGTTTGGTCTGTTTGAAAATTACTTGGTATTTGGAATAAAGCATTGCTGGGTGTGTATGTATGTGTATTTGCACATGTGTGTGTGTGCACGCATGCATTATAGTCAGAGAAACACTTAGCAATTTAGTAAGTTTACCTTCAGAAGTTTATTCTCTGGGAATCTTTAAATGAGCAGTAAGTAGATTGAATGGTATTTTTTTTCCTATGACTGGAAAAATACTTAGGTAGGCTTAATATATTTTGTTAAAAAGGTACATGTTTTTGACATTCTACTTTAATGACATTTTTTTTTCATTCATATACACCTTTCCTCCAAAGCTGGCGGAGGAAACCTTAAATTACTTAATGACTAAGTGTTCGCTGGCAAGTGTTTTCCAAATAAAAGGTAGTATTTTCCAGGAAAACATTTCCATTGCCTGGAAACCTTTTGAAACGAAGCAGATTTTTGCCAGTATTGTGGCCTTAGCAAACATTTTATTTTGGACTGTTAAGACAACTACCCCATGAACATTTTCTAAACATTTTTCGCACTCCTGGTAAAAACATTTGTAAAATATATTAGCTGTTATGGTAGTACAGAATGTTTTCTAAATGGTAATTTATTAAATAAAATACACTTGCCACTAACTGGCTGATTCTTGATGATATTTCAACATTTTTTCAATAAAGCTGTGGCTTTTTGGATTGGATTTATCCATTTTGGATGGATTTATCCATCATTACACTGTGATGATGCTTCACTGTAGAGACAGATTGATGGTACAGTGAATAGAGCATTGGCTCTGGAATCAGAAGGACTTGAGTTCAAATCCATCCTCAGACACTTACTAGCAGTGTGACTTTGGGCAAATCATTTCACCTCTGTCTGCCTCAGTTTCCTCAACTGTAAAATGAGGTTAGTAATAGCATGAACTTCCCCGGGGGTGTCATGAGGATCAAATGAGATAATTCTTATTAAACATTCAGCATAGTGCCTGGAAAATATAGGTGGTTAATATATTTCTTTCCTTCTGGAGAATAAAGTCTATCTGAGTCCCTCTCCTGTAGGCATTAATCGCTCAGCAACCATAGTGGCATCTACAACCCCCAGGATTGTGCGGGGTGTTAGAGATATAAAGAAGTATAAGACATGAACTAGCTGGGGATTCAGAACTTAATGCAGCAAAGTAAGAGCAAACAATATATAACAGTTTATTATTACATGCTAAATTATGTGGTAGAAGCTATGTATACCATAGGAGTTAGGGGAGGAAGGCATCAGTGAGGGCTGGTGTGGCCAGGAATGGCTTCCTGGAAGAACTAGAAATTTGACCGTTTCTTGAAAGATGGCTAGCCTTTGAGGGGGCTGAGGGAGGAAGAGAAGACATTCCATGAGAAAATAACAGTATAAGCAAAGGCAATGAGGTGGATTTTATTAAAGCATGTTCTTGGTAACTTGCTTGATGATAATGACATTGTATTAGGGAGTAATGGTAGATAAGACATCTAAAACTGGACAAGTGAGTTTAGATTTGATGTAGTAGGGAACAGGGCTCCCTTGAAGACTTTTGAGCAGGGAAATTACATGATGAAAGATAATTACTTTTTATTTCTCTCTCCCCCTCCCTATCCCCAATGCAGTGTATTTACAAATATGTAATCCTTAATAAATGAATATTTAATTAATTAATTGGAAATGGGAGAGATTAGAATCAGGGACAACAGCTATAATACTTTTTAATCATTTCAGCATCAGTGGGAAGGAAAAGATTGGGTATAAAACATTCAGCTTGTGCCACCGAGTTTGCAATCTAGTTTAGGAAACAAAACAAACAGGCAACAACCATTAACCTTTCAAAGAAAAAAAAATAGGACTTGGTGACTCATTGGATTTGGTAATGATGGAAAGAGATGGATCAAATGTTACTCCAGTTTTCAGGCCTGTCTGACTGGGAGAATATTCACATCATTAACAGAGCCTAGGAAGTTGGAAGGGGGATGAATTTAGTCTGGGGCATATTTAGTTAGTGGTGATGGCCATGCATTCACGTGGGAATATATAATCACCGGTTGGAAATTTGATAATGGAGATAGGATTTGGGAGTCATCAGCATGGAGGGTAGAGTTGAAGCCAAGAAAGGATAAGAGCTAAGTGTCATAGGTTCAAGGTTGGAAGAGATCTTAGAAGTGATCCATTTCAACCCTCCCATTGAAAAGATGAGGAAGCATCAGAAAGAGTAAGACAACAAGACATATACTGAGTCTTGGGGAACATCAGTGGCTTCAGTTGCATGGTGGAGTTGGGAGAGTGGCATGGTTGGGGGAAGAGAATGCATCCCTGATTTTCCAGACCTCCCCTTAGAGGGGCCACTCAGAGGACCCTGGACTGCTCCTTGACTATTTTTGACCAATATGTTATTAGTTCTTGACTGCTATGTCTGCATTAAGTGGGTCTTTATTTCCTTGGAGACATTTCAAACCTGCTGACCAGAATGTTTAGCAGAGAACATCTTTTCAGTGTGTGTGTGGCTTTCTTTTGTTTAGTTTTCATTTTTAAAAGAAAATTTGTTGCTATTGGTTTCCCTTTGATAGCCTTTTACAAGCCTCCTAAGCTATGAGAAAATTGTTTACGTACAGAACTTAAAAAAATAGAAGTTTGCAAAAAGAAATCTTAAGAGATCATGAAAATCCGCTGAAATTGAGGCCAGTTGCTGGCCTTTTCTTGAACTACAGCTGTGTTAAGGAGGAAACACTTAAGGAGATTAATGGGTAAATCACGGAAGAGTTAAACATGAACAGCATTTGTTTGAATTGGTTTTTAATAGGATTATTCAGAATGTCTTCAAATATAAACTAACTTCACAATTAAACAATCAGCAAAGAACAAATAGAAATAGGAGGCATCTTCTTCGTTATGAAAACCATACATGAAAAAGCAAAATTTTGACTTCATGTAAAAAAAGGATATTGAGTAATCCAATATTTTTTTTTATTATCACGTGCCTTCTTGTTAGAAAGAAAGGAAACCATCCATATTTCCGTTCTTGGAAGGATCATAAGCGCCATCATTTTAAAGATGAAAAAAAAAATCCAAAAATGAAAATGCTTTGAACCAACCATGGGTAGGTATTTAATTAGGATTCAGTAGTACCAGTATTAGTCAACTACAGTGCTTTTTACTAGATTTTCTTCAACTCGACATACATTTATTAAGTTCCTTATATATATACCAGGCACTACTTCCAAATATCTAAGCCCCTTAGAAAGGCAGGGTGATGACAGTTTCATACATAAATTTCATCATGAAGTTTATATTGATTATCTATTTCCAGCTTCCTTAGATCCTTGGTCACTTTCTCCTTCTTTTTCATCATCATCATCATTATTGTTATTTTCCCTGTGAAGTGAGTCCGTGTGGCATAGTAGATAGAAAGCTGGCCTTGAAGCTGTTGAGAAATGGGTTCAGGTTCCACCTCTGGCTACATTGGGTGTGGCCCTGTGAGGGTCACTTCCTCCCAGGGGTCTGGGTACATCACTAAGACTACAGATTTCAGAGAAAGTACAAAGGGTATTCCCTATACTAAAGAAATTTCAGGCCTACTACTTACCTGTATTCTTTCCTCCATGAAAACAGTCAGAAATGCTTTCCCTGCTATATAAAGTTGAGCCTATTATTTGCATCAGAAGGAGAGGCTAACTTTGTTTTTTCCCTGTGTGACTTTCCTCTGCATAGGTCTTCATAATTTAGCCCCTTCCTGTCTTTCCAGACTTCTTATACCTTACTCCCCTTTCACATCCTTTCCACTTGGACTTAATTCACCTTTGGAATGTTCCTGTCCTTTACCTCCACTCCTTAGTTTCCCTGACTTACTTCAGGGCTGAGCTTAAATCCTATTTTTTGCACACCTGTCTTGGTCCCCTTAGCTGCCAATGCTTTCCCTTTTTCAGATTACCTCCATCTATTTTGTGTATGTTTTCTGTGTCTTTAGTATTTACATGTTGTTTCGCCCACTAGAATGTTAGCTCCTCAAGGACAGGGCTGATTTTTACTTTTCTTTGTATCTCCATTACTTAGCACAGTACCTGGAATAAAGTAAGTTCTTAATAAATGCTTGTTGACTGAGTGATTGAATGAATGAAAAGCTCAATAAACTTGTAATAGCACAGTGACTTTTAGCACAGTACCACATCTATGGGTGGAAGTGGGAATAGATAAGCCAACAGATATTTGTTCCTCATTATAGATGTATCGTAATAATCCGTGAATTATACTTTCATGTGGACCTCAATCTATTATTCTTCCCAGTGCTTACTGAAATGTAATGACCAGTCAGGTAACCAGCAGATTTTTTTTTTTTTGAAGTCAGGACAGCTATTTTTGCAGCCTTGATTAGAAGAAATTAACTGATAGCACATAGCAAATTTTCCATCATAGAAAACCAATACTGATTGACTCTTGGGGACTCCAAATTACAGTATGGTGGTTTAATAGGAGTAATGCCCAGATACAATTAACATCGCTTAGTCATAGCTGCTACTATTTAAAATCTAGCAGGAAGAATTCACATGAGTTGAACTTTAACTCTTGCAAATTGAAATAGATTAATGCAGAAATCATTTTCTCCACCTGAGTATGAAAAGACTACATCTTTGAAGAGCATAAAGTTAGATAAGAAAAGTGTATGAGACATATCAGAACTGAAAAATAATGCTCAAAGTGAC